CGTGGAAGCTATCTGCTGAACACAAAGCGCGACAATGTTCAGAATCTTGCAGATGTTTGAAAATGTGGGAGGCCCTATCACTGGCTAAGTGCTCTCTAATTATAACACGCCTGGAAAGATGCGTTTTTTAGTGTTTTATTTGTTTTAGATGCGTTGTTTTAGTGTGAAAGACCCTGGTCCTGAAAGGCTCCATTCACGTGTGGTCTATAAGTTTGAATGTGCTGGCTGTAATGCCTATTTCATCGGCGAAACAATATTTACCTTTAACATCAGAGAGAAAGTTACTCCTTCTTGATCATGGAAATGATCGTTGTTTTCGATGATAACTCCGTACATGTTCAATTCACAAGTTTCTTTGCCGTTCATCTTGGTTGATATTTGGAAGTTTGTTGAAGTGCACCATGGATGAATCAAGCAAAACTGGCTGCAAGACTTCAAACTGACAGAATCGACTTGTTTAATACGATGACCTATGAGGCGCTTATTTCCTCGTGTTGTGAAATATGGAGAGTGAGAAAATCCTGTCACGACAACAAAGGCTTCGAGTAGAATGAAAAACGACGCCTGTATGCCGTTCATAGTTTATACATGAGCTGAATTCGTAAATGCAAGCAAGAAAACAAGCGTTCACAAACGATTCTTGATCTTTTCCTAATAAACCCAAACAACGTAGCTTTGACAACACCTTTCAGTCTGGACATACAATTCCGCCAAAAACACATTACGTATGGCGAAACCCCACTAGCAAGAAACAATTACGACTCTTTTTGGAGAATTATAATCGGTAGGTGTCGCTGGAGGCGAAGTAGGTGTGTTTTGTTAGGATCAATGGGGAGACCTTATCTTCACACCTTATCAACAGTTAGTATCGTGAAATTATGAAGGTTTTAAGACTGTGCAGAATTCCCACAATTCAAAAACTATATATATATATATATATATATATATATATATAGCAAGTCCGTAAAGTTTACATTTAAGCCGGACGGGTTTTGTGTTCAAACGCAAGCTCAATTTGATCTCAGTGTCCATTTAATACGATTTTTACAGAAGATGATCTCAGAAAGCACTTTGGGTAGAGTCCACTTCACACAAGGTGTCATACTTTCCCTCTTGTATGGGCACTTTATTTGCACTGCTGTAAATGTTACAATGCTAAAAGTTCTAATGCTTTATGTTATGTTAGAAATCACCACTTAGGTAATACAAGACATGTAAAATCATAACTCAGAGATGATTATTTGCTTGACGATCAGCCGGACTACGAGATTAATATTCAGTGACTTGGTAACCTGGCGTTGAGGGACTGAGACAGGGGAAACTTTAAAAACTCAGTGAGGTTAAAGTAAATTCTTATGACTAACAGAGCAGCCAAAAAACCAAAACCAACGTAATCACAACTATCAATCAGAACAAAGGCCAACATTATCATTAACCGATGAGAACTCGAAGCAAAAGCAGGCAACCTGCTGGACGCGCGCGAAAACGCGAGTTACCTAGTTGAGGTTGGTTTTAGTTTTGTATTTAATTGGTTGAGATGGAGGCGCCAGTTTTCTGGACCAATCACAGAGCGAAGTAAAGTAAAACCAAAGCAATACTCAATTGAACACTGCTCTACAGCGATGTTAAGTAAGATTAAATACTTTGAAACAAGACTTCTGAATACAGGTTATACGCCCAAAATTTCTAACGTACAAAAACTTTCCAGAAATCACCAGCAGATACTGCATTTGCAAGATCGTCGCAGTCAAATTGTCGTCGTGGTGGCTGAATATTCCAGTAATAGTCATAACCGTCAAACACAACATGATTGTACAATCTGTCGTCATTGCGATTAGGTATGCTCCATTTACCAACGTAAGGCTTCGAAGAGTCGAACCCCCACTGTCGGCAGACCTTGGCTAATTTTGAGTTGTCGTCTTCCATTCTGACAAAAGATTCACACGAGTTTGGTCGCGCATCTGTCTGACCGCTAAAGTACTGGACCACAGCTTCTCCGATGCTATTGGTGGCTGTGGTCACGTGGAACGTACGCTTCGATCGTTTGCTGCAATGGAATCTCAGCTGAGTAAAATTCAAGTATGTTCTGAGCTCATTCATGGCCGTTTTGGCCAGAAACATGTTGTTCCTGTGATATTGGCTGATAGCATGGTACGACCGCTCAACCAAAAACGGAACGGACCAACTTGAGTCGGCCACAAGGTTGGAAACGAGAAGCCAGCCTCCTGAAACAGCAAAGAAATACAACTCACCTTATCAAAAGAATATGTACGCCTCCGGTCTTGAAAAATTGAGATATATTTTTATCGAGCAAGGATATGCTTAGATGTAGACTGGAGAAATAAAATACGATTTTTTTCCGATCGATTCGCTTACTGCACAGAGGTATTTGAGAGGAAGTTGAGAGGCAAACGGAAGCCGGCACATTTCTTTTCCCTGGCGCTTGCTACACATCGTTAGTCTGAGAACTATGTCATTTGGTTTAAGATGCTCAAACCATAGTATTCCAATTAATCGTTGATGTCAAAGCACGCCAGAGGAAGGGTTTATTTCATATCTCTGACCCGTTCAGCACGGGCTAAAAAGTGCCCCACAATACATCTGTCGCTCACCTCCATCAGTTGTCATGTCGCAATAGACCTTCAAAGGGCTTCCTTTGTTCTCAGGGTCGATCCAGTATTCCCCGTCTCCTCTGGAGTCTCCAGCGTCCCGGATGTGCTTGCAGGAATTAGCAGGCCTATTTAACTCCCAACCTGTTCCTTGAGTGTTAAAAACACGCCTCAAGCAAGTTAGTATGGAAGATACACCTCGGGGTGAGAAAGTTTTGCTATCCAACAGCGATAGTAATGATAGTAAGTTGTAAAGTTATCCTGACTTTTTTGCGTTGCATTTAAGACTATCAAAGAGTAAAATTCACGCTCTCTATCCGATGCAGTTCCTTCAGTGACTTGACTGAGCCGGCGCGCATGTTTCCTTTCACATCAGTGGGCTCAGTGTATGTAATGGTATAAGGGACTAGGTGCATAGCACAGTTAGTAATGGTAATAGCACTGAGTGTAGTCCAATTCGGTCTGTCATCATACGAATAATACTCAAAATCGCGCAGCAGGAGTCCGATTTGTTTATCACAAGTATGATCACAGACCGAATTGGAAGACACAAAGTTAAATCTAAAAAATCGTAATTTCCGAGAGACGAAGAATAGCCAAGTTATGAAAGAAATGACAAATTTGCATTAAGGGACTGACAAAAAAAGAATTCTCCATTTTGAAGAAAGCTCCAATTTCTGAGTCTGTACCCAGTTTCTATGGTGATTGAAACCAAGGTTATGATTGGTTGATTTTAATCTACAATTTTTGAATGCGATTGGCTTATTAAATTTTCCATTAACAGGCGTAATACCAAACTGCCAAATTAATGGTCGGTAAACTGAGGTACTTCTAAATTTAAAACCACACTTTTATCACTTATAGCGGTAAAGTCTTCTTGATTACAATGGTCCGACCTTTTCCACTTAAAGAAGTAAAACAAATTAATCTTACCGTTTTTATTTTCACATTTTTTTCCCGTCCACGGTATTTTGCACGAACATGAGAAAAATAAAAGAAGGAAAAAGTGCGGCATTTCTCTTCTTTACTTTCCAATTGTTTTCAAGCAATACGAATAATGGTTCTCAAATAGAGCCAGGGAACAAGTTTAGTGTTGATTATGCGCGTCTTTCATAGCCATCGACAGATTTTACCTTACAGCTGCTTTTCGCTCTGTGCTTTTTTTAAAATGTTTTAAATTTTCAGAAAGACCTTCACTTGAAAAATGAGAGCATTTTTAAAAGGAAATAAGCACTTTCCAAATGTGATTCGAATGAAAACAGCGTTGGCATCACGGGTCTGAGGCAAATATATGCATTAATTCGCTATGATTAAAAACATGAAAGAAGGAAAAAGTGTAGCATTTCTCGTCTTTTCTTCTTTACTTTGCTGAGCAATACGAATAATGGTTGACAATTCTAGCTGGGAACAAGCCTACTCTTAATTGTGCGCGTCTTTCATAGCCATCAATAGATTTTACCTTACAGCTGCTTTTCGCTCATTGTTTTGTTTTCATGTTTTTCGCAGGACTGACTTTTTAATTAGCGCAATACCAAAACTGCCAAATTAATGGTCGGTAAACTGAGGTACTTCTAAATTTAAAACCACACTTTTATCACTTACAGCGGTAGAGTTTTCTTGATTACAATGGTCCGACCTTTTCAACTTAAAAAAGTAAAACAAATCTTACCGTTTTTATTTTCACATTTTTTTCCCGTCCACGGTATTTTGCACAAACATGAGAACAGGTGTCCCTTTTTGTCATACACACAGGAGCCACCATTAAGACAGCCGGTCAACAAACATCCCTGAAAAAATGAAAACTTTGGGATGAGCACAAATATCCTGTCAAAAATAAAACAAAAAACAGAAGACGCATGCATCTCCCACTGACAAAAAGTAAGTTCCAAAGGCAGTACAATTACAAAAAGTTTCTACGGAATAAGTACTGCTCCTCAAGCTATCGTTAAAAAAACTCCTAAGAAATCAAATATAACAAATTTGATAAAAAAAATTACAAAGCGACTGGCTTTAGAATACACTTATAACTCTTGTAGGTTTCGTTTGATTGCTATGTCAAGGAGTTAAATTATCTTTTCCCAATATATTTCTGGCTCAAAGTAAGCCCAGGCAACTGATACATGGATTAATAATTTTACAACTGACCAAGGCACTACATTTCACTGAGGAAACATTTTTATCACCAATTACTACTTCTGGATAGTAGCAGGCAAGTCGAGAATTTGAAGAAAACGACAAAACTTTAAGTTTGTGAAACATAATTCGACAGAAACTTCTGTCATCTTCAGTTAATGAATGGACAAAGCGTTGGAAGTTGAATTTATATTAAGTAGAAAAATGCTAATTATGATAAATGTTGACAACAAGAATAGAGGCAAAGCATGAAAGTGTGAGGATTAAAAGGATAGTTTAAGATTTACATGGTGTAATTGTTGATTCAAAGACGGTTGTTCTCTTTGAATCTGAATAGCCCCTTTTATCTTGAGTTAGAAACCGGTGAGGCGTGATCTAAACCGTGGAAGCTATCTGCTGAACAAAAAGCGCGACAATGTTCAGAATCTTGCAGATGTTTGAAAATGTGGGAGGCCCTGTCACTGGCTAAGTGCTCTCTAATCATAACACGCCTGGAAAGATGCGTTGTTTAGTGCTTTATTTGTTTTAGATGCGTTGTTTTAGTGTGAAAGACCCTGGTCCTGAAAGGCTCCATTCACGTGTGGTCTATAAGTTTGTATGTGCTGGCTGCAATGCCTATTTCATCGGCGAAACAATATTTACCTTTAACATCAGAGAGAAAGTTACTCCTTCTTGATCATGGAAATGATCATTGTTTTCGATGATAACTCCGTGCATGTTCAATTCACAAGTATCTCTGCCGCTCATCTTGGTTGATATTTGGAAGTTTGTTGAAGTGCACCATGGATGTCTCAAGCAAAACTGGCTGCACGACTTCAAACTGATAGAATCGACTTGTTTAATACGATGACCTATGAGGCGCTTATTTTCTCGTATTGTGAAATATTCGGAGTGAGAAAATCCTGTCACGACAACAAGGGCTTCGAGTAGAATGAAAAACGACGCCTGTATGCCCTTCATAGTTTCTACATGAGCTGAATTCGTAAATGCAAGCAAGAAAACAAGCTTGTTCCCCAACGAGTCTCAACTATAAACCCAAACAACCTAGCCCTGACACCTTATAGTCAGGTCTTACAGTTCTGTCAAAAACACATTACGTATAGCGAAACCTTTCAAGCAAGAAAAAATTACGACATTTTAATTTAGGAGAATTATAATAGCAGGTGTAGATGGAGACAAAGTAAGTGTGTTTTGTCAGGATCACTGGGGAGAACTTATCGTCACATCTTATCAACAATTAGAATCGTGAAATTATGATGGTTTTAAAACTGTTCAGTTTTCCTGCAATTCAAAAACTCTATATACAGCAAGTCCTTAAAGTTTTCTTTTAAGCCGGACGGGTTTTGTGTTCAAACACAGGCTCAATTTGATCTCAGGGTCCATTTAATACGATTTTTTAAGAGAATGATCTCAGAAAGCACTTTGGGTAGAGTCCACTTCATACAAGGTGTCATACTTTCCCTCAGATGGCCTTCTTGTATGAGCACTTCATTTGCACTGTTGTAAGTGTTGCAGTGCTAAACTTTCTGATGCTTTATGTTATGTTAAGGGTACGCCGTTTTCATAAAAAAAAAAAGTGTAGGTAAAACTTTGTTTTACTGTCTATTCAATAGGAGTAAATGAAAGATTTAAAGCTCGTCAGTCTCGTTAGCTTTTCCTTTATCAAAATCTTAATTGATCGATTCATTTGTTGCATATATAGCTTTTCAATGTTTGAACTATCCAGCTTTAATAACAATGTTCTGCTTATAATGCTTATAAAAATTACTGTTAATTTCTCTGGGGTCACGTACTGCGATAATTGAATACAAGTATCATAGGTTTTCTGGGCCTAAATGGACCTCAGTCGTAAGGGACCAATCTCGTACCCAGATCCTACCGTGTAACTGTAACTACAACCGATCCGGATACGAGACTAGGACCAGCCATTTTATCGCCTGAGGGGGGAGGGGAAATTTTTGACAGGAGATCACCAACAAAGGCTTGGAGGACGATAATCAAAGCCACCTGTACCCCGTTTATTGTAGATGCATCGAAATAAACTGGATGAGTATTTGCCGCAAAGAAACGCGACGCATGATGTTCGCTACCAAATTCAGAACGGCAACTAATCTCACCGTGGCCTTAGAGAGCACATTAAGATAACTTTACCGCCCAGCAAGGACGCGAATTGGTCAAGAAGTCATCAGTTAGAAAGAAACCTGTCTCCAGCTATTAACTGTAGACTTTTAGATGATCAATCTAATATCTTAAATCACAAATTTTTTTTCTTAATCTCTGTGATTTTAAAATCTCGTTCTGGAAAGAGTAAGAGCTCAGTCTAACTAACTCACTAAAAAAATCAACGATCCTCAAATCAAATTGGAGAAGCAACATCGTTATATCTGGCGGCAAACGTGTGCCCCCATATAGCGCGCAAAGGGGTGTTTTTAAGGGAAAAAAAAAGCTGATATAAAGTGAACTTTTGTCGAGCTGGTTCCTTTGTCTCTCGTTTCACTGGATTTATTCCTTAATCATAAAAATTACAATTTCCTCGATTTTGATTGGTTTAAGAAACTCCTATTTTCCACTAATTCACTTGTCAAGTTGTTATCGGAAAGTTTGCCGTCAGACAGTTCAATAAGCCAATCGCATTCAAAGTTGTAGTTTAACTCCACCAATCACAACCTTGGTTGTTAGTCTTTTAATGCAAATTTTCCCTTTCTTTTATAACTTGCAATTGGCCATTCTTCTTTTTCTCGGAAATTGGAATTTTTATGATTATTTGGTAGTAAGACTTCCTATATCAAAAACGGACGATCGTGCGGAGGGAGTACGGTATTGTTATCACTCGTATGATTCCAGACCGAATTAGACTCCACTCAGTTCCATTCAAATTACCTATTTGATATCATAATGGTGCCAAAACCGAGATTAGATAAAGACAAGAGAAAATAATGGGACATGGTTTTCCCTTAATACAAAACAGCAAAGCGATTATCTATGTATACCCTGTTACAATCTCATTAAATCTAATACAGCAGTGAAAGAAAGAATTTGACAAAGCAGCTTGCACTACAATTATCGCAAAAAGTATTTTATGTAAATTGTTATTTTTGTATGTGCGGCAAAAATAATAATTTTATCGATGGAGTCCTCAACGCACATATATCTTCCAAAAATCACCTGTCGAAACACTGCCCTTAAAATCATCGCATTCGAATCTCTTACTTTCTGGTGAAAGCAGCCAATGTTGTTTGTACCAGACGAGAACCACGTGATCATACAGCCGCTTTTCATAGTTCTGATCGTCGAGACTCCATTTGTTAGTGAACTGATCGAGAGACTTTGTACCCCCCCACTTTTTGCCTCCCTCCCTCTCTTGTAGAGGCTAACTTCATCGTAGGACCCCTTGAGGGAGGGTTGAATAGGTGAGGCGTCCTTAACAATGTTGGAAATGAGAAGCCACCCCCCTGAGAACCAAAGAGATTTTGTCTATTATCCCGTTGGTTTTACTCAATCATTCATCTTTTTCTGTATTTTTATCTCTTTTTTTGTATTTTAAATATGAACAATGGCAACGACGAAATATTTTTTCTAATTCAGTAGAAATGGCCATATTTAAGATCAAAATTGGTCTATAAAAGAACACTTTGTTTCAATTTGGCGAAATATCGGGCTATTTAGGTCCCTCGATTCTGTACACCCGTGACACAATTGCGAAAAAAAACTGTATCAATGAATAGAAGGAAAAAGAAATTTAGCTTTACTCAAACTAATCACAAGTTATTTTCTCCTTGATAGCTAACCTCCATCAGTTGTCATGTCACAGTAGACTTTGAATGGCTTCCCATTCTTTGCAGGGTCGATCCAGTATTCCCCGTCTCCTTTGGAGTCTCCCACGTCCCGAATGTTCTTGTATGAAAGAGCAGGATGATCATAAATCCAGCCTATTCCTTTGGTTACGTCAAAAAAAACAAAACAAAACAAAACAAGAAAAATAACACACAATCGTTTGATCTTTTTAGCCTTACTACGACAAAACTATAACAGTTTTAGTTCCAATGATTTCAGTCCCCCGTAAGATATGTCGCTAATACCATAAGTGGTTACCTGCTGGAGTTCCGACAATTTAAAATTTTTAGAAATACCTTGAAAAATGTGGACATTTTGGAAGGAAATAAGTACTTCCCAACTGAGGTTCGAATGAAAACAGTGCCCAGAAGAAAAATTTATGAATCAGTTGGCAGCAAGGGTCTGAGGCAAAAATACGCACTAACTCGCTATGATTAAAATCAAAGTGCTCTGTGAGCAAACTCGTGAATTGACAGATGACTTACATTATTTTTTTGGATTATGTTTAATGTTATCTGGTTTAGGGAATTTTGTGGTTGATTGTCATATTTAGAGTACGAGCAGTAGTTTAGTGTTCGCTAATGTAGCAAAGAAACAAAGTAACGTTGGGATAAGAAGGCATTACAACTAAAATGATCATGCTATTACATTTGACAAGGGTGGATGATGTCATGTGTTTTAAACTTACATCATTTTTGTTTCTGGTTCAAAAGAAAATGTTGGAAGTAAATGTGGGTGAAAAGTGAAATTTACTGTCTATCATTGTAAACATTGGAAAATCAAGGCAATATTGTCCTAATGAAAACATTAATGATTCCCTCTTTATCATATGGGACAAGTGGGAACGAGTTTTGAGTGATATAACTAAGCCCAGACTGCCCCACTGACATTTTGGATTTCCGCCTGGGTAGATTTTGGTCACGTGCTAGGCAACGCATAATCAAGAACAAGATAGAATTTCATTTCAGGCCTATTTATCAATTTTGTGGTGTATAATTTTCGCATTTTAGTACGTAATATTTATTTTGAATCTTCAAACTGTCTTGAAACTTACAAGGAAATTGTTCTTTAAAAATTCACTGAAAATTGGTAGCCAAAATTATTTGTTTATATGTTATTTGACTTTCGTGTTAACCTGTAATTTTCGTCAGTCGCCGGCACCTTCACACAGAAAAACACACGATACGAAATGTAATGATCGATTTTGTCCCCAATCTCACGCCGTAACAGAAAAAGCTTTCGAACACCTGTAAACTCCGAGCGCTTCGGAGTAGGCGATATTTTTAATGAATCTTCGGATTGTTTTCAAGTTCAAGGATTGTATAATTAAATTGCAATTTTATGAAAAACGAAGGTTGTTCTCTTAATTCAGTGTGAATCCTCGCACGCCTGCCAGTCGCTGGCGCCGCTTGTTGAAACTAAAACGAAAAAAAATAAACTCTTTTAAGATTATCACTGGCTTCTTTTTCACCCCACCACTATTCTTAGCAACAAAGGTTGCCATTTCGTTTGTTTATTACTCGCCAAAAACTATCAAATGCACTCAAAAGCCTAAAATCGAAAAAAAGTTTACAGGAGTCGACCAATCGAGCGAGTGAGTGAGCGAGTGCCATTCTCCACATCATCTCTAAAACTCGCTCTTACGCATGCGCGAAATTCACGAGTTAAAAATGAAACAAGGAAAACGTTTAGCATTTCTCATCTTTTCTTCTTTACTTTGCTGAGCAATACGAATAATGGTTGACAATTCTAGCTGGGAACAAGCCTACTCTTAATTGTGCGCGTCTTTCACAGCCATCGACAGATTTTACCTCACAGCTGCTTTTCGCTCATTGTTTTGTTTTTTGTCTGAGGACTGGATTTTTTAATTAGCGCAAAACCAAAACTGCCAAATTAATGGTCGGTAAACTGAGGTACTTCTAAATTTAAAACTACACTTTTATCACTTACAGTGGTAAAGTTTTCTTGATTACAATGGTCCGACCTTTTCAATTTAAAAAGTAAAACAAATCTTACCGTTTTTATTTTCACATTTTTTTCCCGTCCACGGTATTTTGCACGGACATGAGAACAGGTTTTCCTTTTTGTCATGCACACAGGAGCCACCATTAAGACAACCGGTCAACAAACATCCCTGGAAAAATGAAAAGTTTGGGATGAGCACAAATATCTTGTTAAAGAAAAAAAAGCAAAGAAAAAACGGAAGACGCATGCACCTCCCAGTGACAAAAAGCAAGTTCCCAAGGCAGAACAATTACAAAATGTTTCCACAGAATAAGTACTGCTCTTCAAGCTATCGCTGAAAAAACTCCTAAGAAATCAAATATAAGAAATTTTATAAAAAAAAGAAATTACAAGCGCGACTGGCCTTAAAATACACTTATAACTCTTGTAGGTGTCGTTTGAATGGTATGTCAAGGAGTTAAATTATCTTTTCCCAATATTTTTCTGGCTCAAGGTAATCCCAAGCAACTGATACATGGATTAATAATTTTACAACTGACCAAGGCACTACATTTCACTGAGGAAACATTTTTATCACCAATTACTACTTCTGGATAGTAGCAGGCAAGTCGAGAATTTGAAGAAAACGAAAAAACTTTAAGTTTGTGAAACATACATGATAAATGTTGACAACAAGAATAGAGGCAAAGCATGAAAGTGTGAGGATTAAAAGGATAGTTTAAGATTTACATGGTGTAATTGTTGATTCAAAGAGGGTTGTTCTCTTTGAATATCAATAGCCTCTTTTATCTTAAGTTGAAAACCGGTAGAGGCGTGATCCAAAACGTGGAAGCTATCTGCTGAACACAAAGCGCGACAATGTTCAGAATCTTGCAGATATTTAAAAATGTGGGAGGCCCTGTCACTGGCTAAGTGCTCTCTAATTATAACACGCCTGGAAAGATGCGTTGTTTAGTGTTTTATTTGTTTTAGATGCGTTGTTTTAGTGTGAAAGACCCTGGTCCTGAAAGGCTCCATTCACGTGTGGTCTATAAGTTTGTATGTGCTGGCTGTAATGCCTATTTCATCGGCGAAACAATATTTACCTTTAACATCAGAGAGAAAGTGACTCCTTCTTGATCATGGAAATGATCATTGTTTTCGATGACAACTCCGTGCATGTTCAATTCACAAGTTTCTTTGCCGTTCATCTTGGTTGATATTTGAAAGTTTGTTGAAGTGCACCATGGATGAATCAAGCAAAACTGGCTGCAAGACTTCAAACTGACAGAATCGACTTGTTTAATACGATGACCTAGGAGGCGCTTATTTTCTCGTGTTGTGAAATATGGAGAGTGAGAAAATCCTGTCACGACAACAAAGGCTTCGAGTAGAATGAAAAACGACGCCTGTATGCCGTTCATAGTTTCTACACGAGCTGAATTCGTAAATGCAAGCAAGAAAACAAGCGTTCACAAACGATTCTTGATCTTTTCCTAATAAACCCAAACAACGTAGCTTTGACAACACCTTTCAGTCTGGACATACAATTCCGCCAAAAACACATTACGTATGGCGAAACCCCGCTAGCAAGAAACAATTACGACTCTTTTTGAAGAATTATAATCGGTAGGTGTCGCTGAAGGCGAAGTAGGTGTGTTTTGTTAGGATCAATGGGGAGACCTTATCTTCACACCTTATCAACATTAAGTATCGTGAAATTATGATGGTTTTAAGACTGTGCAGAATTCCCACAATTCAAAAACTATATATATAGCAAGTCCGTAAAGTTTCCATTTAAGCCGGACGGGTTTTGTGTTCAAACGCAAGCTCAATTTGATCTCAGTGTCCATTTAATACGATTTTTACAGAAGATGATCTCAGAAAGCACTTTGGGTAGAGTCCGCTTCACACAAGGTGTCATACTTTCCCTCTTGTATGGGCACTTTATTTGCACTGCTGTAAATGTTACAATGCTAAAAGTTCTAATGCTTTATGTTATGTTAGAAATCACCACTTAGGTAATACAAGACATGTAAAATCATAACTCAGAGATGATTATTTGCTTGACGATCAGCCGGACTACGAGATTAATATTCAGTGACTTGGTAACCTGGCGTTGAGGGACTGAGACAGGGGAAACTTTAAAAACTCAGTGAGGTTAAAGTAAATTCTTATGACTAACAGAGCAGCCAAAAAACCAAAACCAACGTAATCACAACTATCAATCAGAACAAAGGCCAACATTATCATTAACCGATGAGAACTCGAAGCAAAAGCAGGCAACCTGCTGGACGCGCGCGAAAACGCGAGTTACCTAGTTGAGGTTGGTTTTAGTTTTGTATTTAATTGGTTGAGATGGAGGCGCCAGTTTTCTGGACCAATCACAGAGCGAAGTAAAGTAAAACCAAAGCAATACTCAATTGAACACTGCTCTACAGCGATGTTAAGTAAGATTAAATACTTTGAAACAAGACTTCTGAATACAGGTTATACGCCCAAAATTTCTAACGTACAAAAACTTTCCAGAAATCACCAGCAGATACTGCATTTGCAAGATCGTCGCAGTCAAATTGTCGTCGTGGTGGCTGAATATTCCAGTAATAGTCATTACCGTCAAACACAACATGATTGTACAATCTGTCGTCATTGCGATTAGGTATGCTCCATTTACCAACGTAAGGCTTCGAAGAGTCGAACCCCCACTGTCGGCAGACCTTGGCTAATTTTGAGTTGTCGTCTTCCATTCTGACAAAAGATTCACACGAGTATGGTCGCGCATCTGTCTGACCGCTGAAGTACTGGACCACAGCTTCTCCGGTGCTATTGGTGGCTGTGGTCACGTGGAACGTACGCTTCGATCGTTTGCTGCAATGGAATCTCAGCTGAGTAAAATTCAAGTATGTTCTGAGCTCATTCATGGCCGTTTTGGCCAGAAACATGTTGTTCCTGTGATATTGGCTGATAGCATGGTACGACCGCTCAACCAAAAACGGAACGGACCAACTTGAGTCGGCCACAAGGTTGGAAACGAGAAGCCAGCCTCCTGAAACAGCAAAGAAATACAACTCACCTTATCAAAAGAATATGTACGCCTCCGGTCTTGAAAAATTGAGATATATTTTTATCGAGCAAGGATATGCTTAGATGTAGACTGGAGAAATAAAATACGATTTTTTTCCGATCGATTCGCTTACTGCACAGAGGTATTTGAGAGGAAGTTGAGAGGCAAACGGAAGCCGGCACATTTCTTTTCCCTGGCGCTTGCTACACATCGTTAGTCTGAGAACTATGTCATTTGGTTTAAGATGCTCAAACAATAGTATTCCAATTAATCGTTGATGTCAAAGCACGCCAGAGGAAGGGTTTATTTCATATCTCTCACCCGTTCAAAACGGGCTAAAAAGTGCCCCACAATACATCTGTCGCTCACCTCCATCAGTTGTCATGTCGCAATAGACCTTCAAAGGGCTTCCTTTGTTCTCAGGGTCGATCCAGTATTCCCCGTCTCCTCTGGAGTCTCCAGCGTCCCGGATGTGCTTGCAGGAATTAGCAGGCCTATTTAACTCCCAACCTATTCCTTGAGTGTTAAAAACACGCCTCAATCAAGTTAGTATGGAAGATACACCTCGGGGTGAGAAAGTTTTGCTATCCAACAGCGATAGTAATGATAGTAAGTTGTAATGTTATCCTGACTTTTTTGCGTTGCATTTAAGACTATCAAAGAGTAAAATTCACGCTCTCTATCCATGCAGTTCCTTCAGTGACTTGACTGAGCCGGCGCGCATGTTTCCCAGTGCACTTTCACATCAGTGGGCTCAGTGTATGTAATGGTATAAGGGACTAGGTGCATAGCACAGTTAGTAATGGTAATAGCACTGAGTGTAGTCCAATTCGGTCTGTCATCATACGAATAATACTCAAAATCGGACGACCGCGCAGTATGATCACAGACCGAATTGGAAGACACAAAGTTAAATCTAAAAAATCGTAATTTCCGAGAGACGAAGAATAGCCAAGTTATGAAAGAAATGACAAATTTGCATTAAGAGACTGACAAAAAAAGAATTCTCCATTTTAAAGAAAGCTCCAATTTCTGAGTCTGTACACAGTTTCTATGGTGATTGAAACCAAGGTTATGATTGGTTGATTTAATCTACAACTTTTGAATGTGATTGGCTTATTAAATTGTCCGTTAACAAGCGTAATATCAAAACTGCCAAATTAATGGTCGGTAAACTGAGGTACTTCTAAATTTAAAACCACACTTTTATCACTTATAGCGGTAAAGTCTTCTTGATTACAATGGTCCGACCTTTTCCACTTAAAGAAGTAAAACAAATTAATCTTACCGTTTTTATTTTCACATTTTTTTCCCGTCCACGGTATTTTGCACGAACATGAGAAAAATAAAAGAAGGAAAAAGTGCGGCATTTCTCATCTTTCCTTCTTTACTTTCCAATTGTTTTCAAGCAATACGAATAATGGTTCACAAATAGAGCCAGGGAACAAGCTTAGTGTTAATTATGCGCGTCTTTCATAGCCATCGACAGATTTTACCTTACAGCTGCTTTTCGCTCAGTGCTTTTTTAAAATGTTTTAAATTTTTAGAAATACCTTCACTTGAAAAATGAGGGCATTTTTAAAAGGAAATAAGCACTTGCCAATGTGATTCGAATGAAAACAGCGTTGGCATCACGGGTCTGAGGCAAATATATGCATTTTTTCGCTATGATTAAAAACATGAAAGAAGGAAAAAGTGTAGCATTTCTCGTCTTTTCTTCTTTACTTTGCTGAGCAATACGAATAATGGTTGACAATTCTAGCTGGGAACAAGCCTACTCTTAATTGTGCGCGTCTTTCATAGCCATCAATAGATTTTACCTTACAGCTGCTTTTCGCTCATTGTTTTGTTTTCATGTTTTTCGCAGGACTGACTTTTTAATTAGCGCAATACCAAAACTGCCAAATTAATGGTCGGTAAACTGAGGTACTTCTAAACTTAAAACCACACTTTTATCACTTACAGCGGTAGAGTTTTCTTGATTACAATGGTCCGACCTTTTCAACTTAAAAAAGTAAAACAAATCTTACCGTTTTTATTTTCACATTTTTTTCCCGTCCACGGTATTTTGCACAAACATGAGAACAGGTGTCCCTTTTTGTCATACACACAGGAGCCACCATTAAGACAGCCGGTCAACAAACATCCCTGAAAAAATGAAAACTTTGGGATGAGCACAAATATCCTGTCAAAAATAAAACAAAAAACAGAAGACGCATGCATCTCCCACTGACAAAAAGTAAGTTCCAAAGGCAGTACAATTACAAAAAGTTTCTACAGAATAAGTACTGCTCCTCAAGCTATCGTTAAAAAGACTCCTAAGAAATCAAATATAACAAATTTGATAAAAAAAATTACAAAGCGACTGGCTTTAGAATACACTTATAACTCTTGTAGGTTTCGTTTGATTGCTATGTCAAGGAGTTAAATTATCTTTTCCCAATATATTTCTGGCTCAAAGTAAGCCCAGGCAACTGATACATGGATTAATAATTTTACAACTGACCAAGGCACTACATTTCACTGAGGAAACATTTTTATCACCAATTACTACTTCTGGATAGTAGCAGGCAAGTCGAGAATTTGAAGAAAACGACAAAACTTTAAGTTTGTGAAACATAATTCGACAGAAACTTCTGTCATCTTCAGTTAATGAATGGACAAAGCGTTGGAAGTTGAATTTATATTAAGTAGAAAAATGCTAATTATGATAAATGTTGACAACAAGAATAGAGGCAAAGCATGAAAGTGTGAGGATTAAAAGGATAGTTTAAGATTTACATGGTGTAATTGTTGATTCAAAGACGGTTGTTCTCTTTGAATCTGAATAGCCCCTTTTATCTTGAGTTAGAAACCGGTAGAGGCGTGATCTAAACCGTGGAAGCTATCTGCTGAACAAAAAGCGCGACAATGTTCAGAATCTTGCAGATGTTTGAAAATGTGGGAGGCCCTGTCACTGGCTAAGTGCTCTCTAATCATAACACGCCTGGAAAGATGCGTTGTTTAGTGCTTTATTTGTTTTAGATGCGTTGTTTTAGTGTGAAAGACCCTGGTCCTGAAAGGCTCCATTCACGTGTGGTCTATAAGTTTGTATGTGCTGGCTGCAATGCCTATTTCATCGGCGAAACAATATTTACCTTTAACATCAGAGAGAAAGTTACTCCTTCTTGATCATGGAAATGATCATTGTTTTCGATGATAACTCCGTGCATGTTCAATTCACAAGTATCTCTGCCGCTCATCTTGGTTGATATTTGGAAGTTTGTTGAAGTGCACCATGGATGTCTCAAACAAAACTGGCCGCACGACTTCAAACTGATAGAATCGACTTGTTTAATACGATGACCTAGGAGGCGCTTATTTTCTCGTATTGTGAAATATTCGGAGTGAGAAAATCCTGTCACGACAACAAGGGCTTCGAGTAGAATGAAAAACGACGCCTGTATGCCCTTCATAGTTTCTACATGAGCTGAATTCGTAAATGCAAGCAAGAAAACAAGCTTGTTCCCCAACGAGTCTCAACTATAAACCCAAACAACCTAGCCCTGACAACACCTTATAGTCAGGTCTTACAGTTCTGTCAAAAACACATTACGTATAGCGAAACCTTTCAAGCAAGAAAAAATTACGACATTTTAATTTAGGAGAATTATAATAGCAGGTGTAGATGGAGACAAAGTAAGTGTGTTTTGTCAGGATCATTGGGGAGAACTTATCGTCACATCTTATCAACAATTAGAATCGAGAAATTATGAAGGTTTTAAAACTTTTCAGTTTTCCTGCAATTCAAAAACTCTATATACAGTAAGTCTTTAAAGTTTTCTTTTAAGCCGGACAGGTTTTGTGTTCAAACGCAGGCTCAATTTGGTCTCAGGGTCCATTTAATACCATTTTTTTAGAGAATGATCTCAGAAAGCACTCTGGGTAGAGTCCACTTCATACAAGGTGTCATACTTTCCCTCAGATGGTCTTCTTGTATGAGCACTTCATTTGCACTGTTGTAAGTGTTATAGAGCTAAACTTTCTAATGCTTTATGTTATGTTAGGGGTACGCCGTTTTCACAAAAAACAAATGTGGATAAAACTTTGTTTTACTGTCTATAAAATAGGAGTAAATGAAAGATTTACAGCTCATCAGTCTCGTTAGCTTTTCTTGTATTAAAATCCTTAGTGACCAATTCATTTGTTGCATATATAGCTTTTCAATGTTTGAATTACCCAGCTTTAAAAACAACAATTTTCTATTTATAATGCTTATAATATACTAATTTCTCTGAGGTCACGTACTGTAATGATTAAATAAAAGTATCATGGGTTTTTTGGGCCTCAGTAGACCTCAGTCTTTGGGGACCAATCTCGTACCCAGATCCCACCGTGTAACTGTAACTACGACCGTAAAAGATCTGGATACGAGACTAAGACCAGCCATTTTTATCGCCTGAGGGGGGAGGGGAGGATTTTAACAGGGGATCACCAACAAAGGCTCGGAGGACGACATTCAAAGCCACCTGTACCCCGTTTATAGTAAATACATCGAAATAAACTGGATGAGTATTTGCTGCAAAGAAACGCGACGCATGGTGTTCGCCAGCAAACTCAGAACGGCAACTGAGAAACTATGAATATGATATGAATGGCGCTATGTTGGAGAAAACAAGTTACGAACGTGATCTTAGTGTCTGGGTTTTTTAACTGGCCTAACATGGAATCGCCGAGTCTCAGAGCAATGCTCGCGCGCGAACAAGATGCTTGGGTTTGTTAAAAGAAACGCGCGTCATATGCAAAGTACTATTGTAAGAAGATTAATCGATTTAATCATCGTTAGACCGCATCTGGGCCATGCTACACAAGGTTGGGCACCAGAATCTATTTATTTTATCTCAAATCTAGAAAAGATATAAAGACGGGCTACAAAATATATCTTGAAACTACCATTCTCGTGCCATCAGAGTTATGAACAACGGCTAAAAACCTTTTCCTTACTATCTATCAGCTACTGGCATGAGTGCTTAGATATGTTACTGTTCTTTAAGATTACCCATACTGGTGGATATAGACCCTACGAGTGTTCCTATTGCTCTTTCTACAAGACAAACACGATCGTCTGCCAATACAGCTGTTACCAAATACTCTGTACCTAAATGCAAGACTTCAACCTTTTAACGGTCATTTATTGTACGAACTATAAGAATCTGGAACACACTGTCAGACGAGCTTAACCTAAGTTTGAACAATGTAAATGACTTCAAACGTGCTTTGATGTGTTATTATTTAACTGCACTCCAAGAGATCTTTGACATTGACAATCCCAGGACATATAAAAATACATTACAAAATGTAACATGTCGCAGCCTGAAAACAACACCAACTCTATGCTGTTCTCAATTATTAGTTACTGATGTAATCGTTTTACTATTTTAATACTCCTGGGACCACAGTAATTGGCTATCGCTGTTATGGTTGCCTGCCCCTTATTGTTATTGTTATTTACCCATGTTCTACATTATATGTATTTTTGGCAAAGCTAATAAACGGGGGAAACTTTAAAAACTCAGTGAGGTTAACGCAAATTCTTATGACTAACAGAGCAGCCAAAAGAACCAAAACCAACGTAACCACATCTATCAATCAGAGCAAAGGCCAACATCATCATTAACCAATGAGAACTCGAAGTAAAAGCAGGTAACCTGTAGGAGGCGCGGGAAAACGCTAGTTACCTAGTTGGGGTTAGTTTTAGTTTTGCATTTGATTGGTTGAGATGGTGGCGCCAGTTTTCTGGACCAATCACAGAGCGAAGTAAAGTAAAACCAAAGCAATACTCAATTGAACACTGCTCTACAGCGATGTTAAGTAAGATTAAATACTTTGAAACAAGACTTCTGAATACAGATAATACGCCCAAAATTTCTAACGTACAAAAACTTTCCAGAAATCACCAGCAGATACTGCATTTGCATAATCGTCGCAGTCAAATCGACCATGTTGTGGCTGAATATTCCAGTGATAGGCATACCAGACAATCACAGTATGATCGTACAATCTGTTGTCATTGCGAGGAGCAACGCTCCATTTACTAACGTTGCGCTTTGAAGAGTCGGACCCCCACTCTTGGCAGACCTTGGCTAATTTTGAGTTGTCGTCTTCCATTCTGACAAAAGATTCACACGAGTATGGTTGCGCATCTGTCTGACCGCTGAAGTACTGGACCACAGCTTCTCCGATGCCAATAGCGGCTGTGGTCACGTGGAACGTGGAACAGCGTTGGCATCACGGGTCTGAGGCAAATATATGCATTAATTCGCTATGATTAAAAACATGAAAGAAGGAAAAAGTGCAGTTTTTCTCATCTTTTCTTCTTTACTTTGCTGAGTAATACGAATAATGGTTGACAATTCTAGCTGGGAACAAGCCTACTCTTAATTATGCGCGTCTTTCACAGCCATCGACAGATTTTACCTTACAGCTGCTTTTCGCTCATTGAGGACTGAATCTTTAATTAGCGCAATACCAAAACTGCCAAATTAATGGTCGGTAACCTGAGGTACTTCTAAACTTAAAACCACATTTTTATCACTAACAGTGGTAAAGTTTTCCTGATCACAATGGTCCGACCTTTTCAACTTAAAAAAGTAAAACAAATCTTACCGTTTTTATTTTCACATTTTTTTCCCGTCCACGGTATTTTGCACGAACATGAGAACAGGTTTTCCTTTTTGTCAAACACACAGAAGCCACCATTAAGACAGCCGGTCAACAAACATCCCTGAAAAAATGAAAACTTTGGGATGAGCGCAAATATCTTGTCAAAAGTAAAGCAAAAACGGAAGACGCATGCATCTCCCACTGACAAAAAGTAAGTTCCAAAGGCAGCACAATTACAAAAAGTTTCTATATAATAAGTACTGCTCCTCAAGCTAAAAAAAACCTCCTAAGAAATCAAATATGACAAATTTGATGAAAAAAAATTACAAAGCGACTGGCCTTAGAATACACTTATAACTCTTGTAGGTTTCGTTTGAATGGTATGTCAAGGAGTTAAATTATCTTTTCCCAATATATTTCTGGCTCAAGGTAAGCCCAAGCAACTGATACATGGATTATTAATTTTATAACTGACCAAGGCACCACATTTCACTGAGGAAACATTTTTATAACCAATTACTACTTCAAGAATTTGAAGAAAACGACAAAACGTTTAAGTTTGTAAAACATGTTTCGACAGAAACTTCTGTCATCTTCAGTTAATTAATGGACAAGGCGTTGGAAGTTGAATTTATAATAAGTAGAAAAATGCTAATTATGATAAATGTTGACAACAAGAAGAGAGGCAAAGCATGAAAGTGTGAGGATTAAAAGGATAGTTTTAGATTTACAAGGTGTAATTGTTGATTCAAAGAGGGTTGTTCTCTTTGAATATCAATAGCCTCTTTTATCTTGAGTTAAAAACCGGGAGAGGCGTGATCCAAAACGTGGAAGCTATCTGTTGAACACAAAGCACGACAATGTTCAGAATCTTGCAGATGTTTGAAAATGTGGGAGGCCCTGTCACTGGCTAAGTGCTCTCTAATTATAACATGCCTGGAAAGATGCGTTGTTTAGTGTTTTATTTGTTTTAGATGCGTTGTTTTAGTGTGAAAGACCCTGGTCCTGAAAGGCTCCATTCACGTGTGGTCTATAAGTTTGTATGTGCTGACTGTAATGCCTATTTCATCGGCGAAACAATATTTACCTTTAACATCCGAGAGAAAGTTTCTCCTTCTTGATCGTGGAAATGGTCATTGTTTTCGTCGATAACTCCGTGCATGTTCAATTCACAAGTTTCTTTGCCGTTCATCTTGGTTGATATTTGGAAGTTTGTTGAAGTGCACCATGGATGTCTCAAGCAAAACTGGCTGCACGACTTCAAACTGATAGAATCGACTCGTTTAATACGATGACCTATGAGGCGCTTATATATTTAAGATCAAAATTGGTCTATAAAAGAACACTTTGTTTCAATTTGGCGAAATATCGGGCTATTTAGGTCCCTCGATTCTGTACACCCGTGACACAATTGCGAAAAAAAACTGTATCAATGAATAGAAGGAAAAAGAAATTTAGCTTTACTCAAACTAATCACAAGTTATTTTCTCCTTGATAGCAAACCTTCATCAGTTGTCATGTCACAGTAGACTTTGAATGGCTTCCCATTCTTTGCAGGGTCGATCCAGTATTCCCCGTCTCCTTTGGAGTCTCCCACGTCCCGAATGTTCTTGCATGAAAGAGCAGGATGATCATAAATCCAGCCTATTCCTTAGATTACGTCAAAAAAAACAAACAAAACAAAACAAGAAAAATAACACACAATCGTTTGATCTTTTTAGCCTTACTACGACAAAACTATAACAGTTTTAGTTCCAATGATTTCAGTCCCCCGTAAGATATGTCGCTAATACCATAAGTGGTTACCTGCTGGAGTTCCGACAATTTAAAAATTTTTAGAAATACCTTGAAAAATGTGGGCATTTTGGAAGGAAATAAGTACTTCCCAACTGAGGTTCGAATGAAAACAGTGCCCAGAAGAAAAATTTATGAATCAGTTGGCAGCAAGGGTCTGAGGCAAAAATACGCACTAACTCGCTATGATTAAAATCAAAGTGCTCTGTGAGCAAACTCGTGAATTGACAGATGACTTACATGATTTTTTTTGGATTATGTTTAATGTTATCTGGTTTAGGGAATTTTGTGGTTGATTGTCATATTTAGAGTACGAGCAGTAGTTTAGTGTTCGCTAATGTAGCAAAGAAACAAAGTAATGTTGGGATAAGAAGGCATTACAACTTAAATGATCATGCTATTACATTTGACAAGGGTGGATGATGTCGTGTTTTAAACACATCATTTTTGTTTCTGGTTCAAAAGAAAATGTTGGAAGTAAATGTGGGTGAAAAGTGAAATTTACTGTCTATCATTGTAAACATTGGAAAATCAAGGCAATATTGTCCTAATGAAAACATTAATGATTCCCTCTTTATCATATGGGACAAACGGGAACGAGTTTTGAGTGATATAACTAAGCCCAGATTGCCACCGTCATTTTGGATTTCCGCCTGGGTAGATTTTGGTCACGTGCTAGGCAACGCATAATCAAGAACAAGATAGAATTTCATTTCAGGCCTATTTATCAATTTTGTGGTGTATAATTTTCGCATTTTAGTACGTAATATTTATTTTGAATCTTCAAACTGTCTTGAAACTTAAAAGGAAATTGTTCTTTAAAAATTCACTGAAAATTGGTAGCCAAAATTATTTGTTTATATGTTATTTGACTTTCGTGTTAACCTGTAATTTCGTCAGTCGCCGGCACCTTTTGTTTCTTCACACAGAAAAACACACTATACGAAATGTAATGATCGATTTTGTCCCCAATCTCACGCCGTAACAGAAAAAGCTTTTGAACACCTGTAAACTCCGAGCGCTTCGGAGTAAGCGATATTTTTAATGAATCTTCGGATTGTTTTCAAGTTCAAGAATTGTATATTTAAATTGCAATTTTATGAAAAACGAAGGTTGTTCTCTTAATTCAGTGTGAATCCTCGCACGCCTGCCAGTCGCTGGCGCCGCTTGTTGAAACTAAAACGAAAAAAAATAAACTCTTTTAAGATTATCACTGGCTTCTTTTTCACCCCACCACTATTCTTAGCAACAAAGGTTGCCATTTCGTTTGTTTATTTCTCGCCAAAAACTATCAAATGCACTCAAAAGCCTAAAATCGAAAAAAAAGTTTACAGGAGTCGACCAATCGAGCGAGTGAGCGAGCGAGTGCCATTCTCCACATCATCTCTACAACTCGCTCTTACGCATGCGCGCAATTCACGAGTTAAAAATGAAACAAGGAAAAAGTGTAGTTTTTCTTGTCTTTTTTTCTTTACTTTGCTGAGCAATACGAATAATGGCTGACAATTCTAGCTAGGAATAAGCCTACACTTAATTGTGCGCGTCTTTCACAACCATCGACAGATTTTACCTCACAGCTGCTTTTCGCTCATTGTTTTGTTTTTGTTTTTCACAGGACTGAATTTTTAATTAACGCAATACCAAAACTGCAAAATTAATGGTCGGTAAAGAGGTACTTCAAAATTTAAAACCACACTTTTATCACTTACAGCGGTAAAGTTTTCTTGATTACAATGGTCCGACCTTTTCAACTTAAAAAAGTAAAACAAATCTTACCGTTTTTATTTTCACATTTTTTTCCCGTCCACGGTATTTTGCACGAACATGAGAACAGGTTTTCCTTTTTATCATGCACACAGGAGCCACCATTAAGACAACCGGTCAACAAACATCCCTGGAAAAATGAAAACTTTGGGATGAGCACAAATATCTTGTTAAAGAAAGAAAAAAAAAAAAAAAACGGAAGACGCATGCACCTCCCAGTGACAAAAAGCAAGTTCCCAAGGCAGTACAATTACAAAATGTTTCCACAGAATAAGTAGTGCTCCTCAAGCTATCGCTGAAAAAACTCCTAAAAAATCAAATATAAAAAATTTTATATAAGAAAGAAATTACAAGCGCGACTGGCCTTAAAATACACTTATAACTCTTATAGGTGTCGTTTGAATGGTATGTCAAGGAGTTTAATTATCTTTTCCCAATATTTTTCTGGCTCAAGGTAAGCCCAAGCAACTGTTACATGGATTAATAATTTTACAACTGACCAAGGCACTACATTTCACTGAGGAAACATTTTTATCACCAATTACTACTTCTGGATAGTAGCAGGCAAGTCAAGAATTTGAAGAAAACGAAAAAACTTTAAGTTTGTGAAACATACATGATAAATGTTGACAACAAGAAGAGAGGCAAAGCATGAAAGTGTGAGGATTAAAAGGATAGTTTAAGATTAACATGGTGTAATTGTTGATTCAAAGAGGGTTGTTCTCTTTGAATATCAATAGCCTCTTTTATCTTAAGTTGAAAACCGGTAGAGGCGTGATCCAAAACGTGGAAGCTATCTGCTGAACACAAAGCGCGACAATGTTCAGAATCTTGCAGATATTTAAAAATGTGGGAGGCCCTGTCACTGGCTAAGTGCTCTCTAATTATAACACGCCTGGAAAGATGCGTTGTTTAGTGTTTTATTTGTTTTAGATGCGTTGTTTTAGTGTGAAAGACCCTGGTCCTGAAAGGCTCCATTCACGTGTGGTCTATAAGTTTGTATGTGCTGGCTGTAATGCCTATTTCATCGGCGAAACAATATTTACCTTTAACATCAGAGAGAAAGTGACTCCTTCTTGATCATGGAAATGATCATTGTTTTCGATGACAACTCCGTGCAGGTTCAATTCACAAGTTTCTTTGCCGTTCATCTTGGTTGATATTTGAAAGTTTGTTGAAGTGCACCATGGATGAATCAAGCAAAACTGGCTGCACGACTTAAAACTGATAGAATCGACTTGTTTAATACGATGACCTATGAGGCGCTTATTTTCTCGTGTTGTGAAATATGCGGAGTGAGAAAATCCTGTCACGACAACAAGGGCTTCGAGTAGAATGAAAAACGACGCCTGTATGCCCTTCATAGTTTCTACATGAGCTGAATTCGTAAATGCAAGCAAGAAAACAAGCGTGTTCCCCAACGAGTCTCAACGATAAACCCAAACAACCTAGCCCTGACAACACCTTTAGTCAGGTCTTACAGTTCTGTCAAAAACACATTACGTATAGCGAAACCTTTCAAGCAAGAAACAATTACGACATTTTAATTTAGGAGAATTATAATAGCAGGTGTAGATGGAGGCAAAGTAAGTGTGTTTTGTCAGGATCACTGGGGAGACCTTATCGTCACACCTTATCAACAATTAGAATCGTGAAATTATGATGGTTTTAAAACTGTTCAGTTTTCCCGCAATTCAAAAACTTTATATATAGCAAGTCCTTAAAGTTTTCTTTTAAGCCGGACAGGTTTTGTGTTCAAACGCAGGCTCAATTTGATCTCAGGGTCCATTTAATACGATTTATTAAGAGAATGATCTCAGAAAGCACTTTGGGTAGAGTCCACTTCATACAAGGTGTCATACTTTCCCTCAGATGGCCTTCTTGTATGAGCACTTCCTTTGCACTGTTCTAAGTGTTGTAGTCAAAATCCTAATTGATCGATTCATTTGTTGCATATATAGCTTTTCAATGTTTGAACTATCCAGCTTTAATAACAATGTTCTGCTTATAATGCTTATAAAAATTACTGTTAATTTCTCTGGGGTCACGTACTGCGATAATTGAATACAAGTATTGTAGGTTTTCTGGGCCTAAATGGACCTCAGTCGTTAGGGACCAATCTCGTACCCAGATCCTACCGTGTAACTGTAACTACAACCGATCCGGATACGAGACTAAGACCAGCCATTTTTTATCGCCTGAGGGGGGAGGGGAAGATTTTGACAGGAAATCGCCAACAAAGGCTTGGAGGACGATAATTAAAGCCACCTGTACCCCGTTTATTGTAGATGCATCGAAATAAACTGGATGAGTATTTGCCGCAAAGAAACGCGACGCATGATGTTCGCTACCAAATCAAATTGGAGAAGCAACATCGTTATATCTGGCGGCAAACGTGTGCCCCCATATAGCGCGCAAAGGGGTGTTTTTAAGGGAAAAAAAGCTGATATAAAGTGAACTTTTGTCGAGCTGGTTCCTTTGTCTCTCGTTTCACTGGATTTATTCCTTAATCATAAAAATTACAATTTCCTCGATTTTGATTGGCTTAAGAAACTCCTATTTTCCACTAATTCACTTGTCAAGTTGTTATCGGAAAGTTTGCCGTCAGACAGTTCAATAAGCCAATCGCATTCAAAGTTGTAGTTTAACTCCACCAATCACAACCTTGATTGTTAGTCTTTTAATGCAAATTTTCCCTTTCTTTCATAACTTGCAATTGGCCATTCTTCTTTTTCTCGGAAATTGGAATTTTTATGATTATTTGGTAGTAAGACTTCCTATAGTAAAAACGGACGATCGTGCGGAGGGAGTACGATATTGTTATCACTCGTATGATTCCAGACCGAATTAGACTCCACTCAGTTCCATTCAAATTACCTATTTGATATCATAATGGCGCCAAAACCGAGATTAGATAAAGACAAGAGAAAATAATGGGACATGGTTTTCCCTTAATACAAAACAGCAAAGCGATTATCTATGTATACCCTGTTACAATCTCATTAAATCTAATACAGCAGTAAAAGAAAGAAATTGACAAAGCAGTTTGCACTACAATTATCGCAAAAAGTATTTTATGTAAATTGTTATTTTTGTATGTGCGGCAAAAATAATAATTTTATCGATGGAGTCCTCAACGCACATATATCTTCCAAAAATCACCTGTCGAAACACTGCCCTTAAAATCATCGCATTCGAATCTCTTACTTTCTGGTGAAAGCAGCCAATGTTGTTTGTACCAGACGAGAACCACGTGATCATACAGCCGCTTTTCATAGTTCTGATCGTCGAGACTCCATATGTTAGTGAACTGATCGAGAGACTTTGTACCCCCCCACTTTTTGCAGACTTTTGCCATAGCTGAGTTATCATCTTCCATCCTTACAAACGAGCCACAGGCATCCGGTCGCGCATCCGTCTGACCGCTAAAGTACTAGACAACAGCTTCACCAGTGCTGTTAGCGGCCGTGGTCGCGTGGAACGTACGTCCCTGTTGTTTACAGTAGAATCGCAGCTGAGTAAAGGACACATTCGATCTGAGTTCTTTCTTAGCCCTTCTGCGAAGAACAATGTTCCCTCTCTTGTAAAGGCTAACTTCATCGTAGGACCCCTTGAGGGAGGGTTGAATAGGTGAGGCGTCCTTAACAATGTTGGAAATGAGAAGCCACCCCCCTGAAAACCAAAGAGATTTTGTCTATTATCCCGTTGGTTTTATTCAATCATTCATCTTTTTCTGTATTTTTATCTCTTTTTTTTGTATTTTAAATATGAACAATGGCAACGACGAAATATTTTTTTCTAATTCAGTAGAAATGGCCATATTTAAGATCAAAATTGGTCTATGAAAGAACACTTTCTTTCACTTTGGCGAAATATCGGGCTATTTAGGTCCCTTGATTCTGTACACCCGTGACACAATTGCGAAAAAAAACTACATTAATGAATAGAAGGAAAAAGAAATTTAGCTTTCCTCAAACTAATCACAAGTTGTTTTCTCCTTGATAGCAAACCTCCATCAGTTGTCATGTCACAGTAGACTTTGAATGGCTTCCCATTCTTTGCAGGGTCGATCCAGTATTCCCCGTCTCCTTTGGAGTCTCCCACGTCCCGAATGTTCTTGCATGAAAGAGCAGGATGATCATAAATCCAGCCTATTCCTTTGGTTACGTCAAAAAAAACAAACAAAACGAAACAAGAAAAATAACACACAATCGTTTGATCTTTTTAGCCTTACTACGACAAAACTATAACAGTTTTAGTTCCAATGATTTCAGTCCCCCGTAAGATATGTCGCTAATACCATAAGTGGTTACCTGCTGGAGTTCCGACAATTTAAAATTTTTAGAAATACCTTGAAAAATGTGGGCATTTTGGAAGAAAATAAGTACTTCCCAACTGAGGTTCGAATGAAAACAGTGCCCAGAAGAAAAATTTATGAATCAGTTGGCAGCAAGGGTCTTAGGCAAAAATACGCATTAACTCGCTATGATTAAAATCAAAGTGCTCTGTGAGCAAACTCGTGAATTGACAGATGACTTACATGATTTTTTTGTTATCTGGTTTAGGGAATTTTGTGGTTGATTGTCATATTTAGAGTACGAGCAGTAGTTTAGTGTTCGCTAATGTAGCAAAGAAACAAAGTAACGTTGGGATAAGAAGGCATTACAACTGAAATGATCATGCTATTACATTTGACAAGGGTGGATGATGTCGTGTTTTAAACACATCATTTTTGTTTCTGGTTCAAAAGAAAATGATGGAAGTAAATGTGGGTGAAAAGTGAAATTTACTGTCTAACATTGTAAACATTGGAAAATCAAGGCAATACTGTCCTAATGAAAACATTAATGATTCCCTCTTTATCATATGGGACAAACGGGAACGAGTTTTGAGTGATATAACTAAGCCCAGACTGCCCCACTGACATTTTGGATTTCCGCCTGGGTAGATTTGGTCACGTGCTAGGCAACGCATAATCAAGAACAAGATAGAATTTCATTTCAGGCCTATTTATCAATTTTGTGGTGTATAATTTTCGCATTTTAGTACGTAATATTTATTTTGAATCTTCAAACTGTCTTGAAACTTACAAGGAAATTGTTCTTTAAAAATTCACTGAAAATTGGTAGCCAAAATTATTTGTTTATATGTTATTTGACTTTCGTGTTAACCTGTAATTTCGTCAGTCGCCGGCACCTTTTGTTTCTTCACACAGAAAAACACACGATACGAAATGTAATGATCGATTTTGTCCCCAATCTCACGCCGTAACAGAAAAAGCTTTCGAACACCTGTAAACTCCGAGCGCTTCGGACTAAGCGATATTTTTAATGAATCTTCGGATTGTTTTCAAGTTCAAGAATTGTATATTTAAATTGCAATTTTATGAAAAACGAAGGTTGTTCTCTTAATTCAGTGTGAATCCTCGCACGCCTGCCAGTCGCTGGCGCCGCTTGTTGAAACTAAAACGAAAAAGAATAACCTCTTTTAAGATTATCACTGACTTCTTTTTCACCCCACCACTATTCTTAGCAACAAAGGTTGCCATTTCGTTTGTTTATTACTCGCCAAAAACTATCAAATGCACTCAAAAGCCTAAAATCGAAAAAACGTTTACAGGAATCGATCAATCGAGCGAGCGAGCGAGCGAGTGCCATTCTCCACATCATCTCTACAACTCGCTCTTACGCATGCGCGAAATTCACGAGTTAAAAATGAAACAAGGAAAACGTGTAGCATTTCTCATCTTTTCTTCTTTACTTTGCTGAGTAATATGAATAATGGTTGACAATTCTAGCTGGGAACAAGCCTACTCTTAATTGTGCTCGTCTTTCACAGCCATCGACAGATTTTACCTCACAGCTGCTTTTCGCTCATTGTTTTGTTTTGTTTTTCACAGGACTGAATTTTTAATTAACGCAATACCAAAACTGCAAAATTAATGGTCGGTAAACTGAGGTACTTCAAAATTTAAAACCACACTTTTATCACTTACAGCGGTAAAGTTTTCTTGATTATAATGGTCCGACCTTTTCAACTTAAAAAAGTAAAACAAATCTTACCGTTTTTATTTTCACATTTTTTCCCGTCCACGGTATTTTGCACGAACATGAGAACAGGTTTTCCTTTTTGTCATGCACACAGGAGCCACCATTAAGACAACCGGTCAACAAACATCCCTGGAAAAATGAAAAGTTTGGGATGAGCACAAATATCTTGTTAAAGAAAAAAAAAAAAAAAAAAAAAAACGGAAGATGCATGCACCTCCCAGTGACAAAAAGCAAGTTCCCAAGGCAGTACAATTACAAAATGTATCCACAGAATAAGTACTGCTCCTCAAGCTATCCCTGAAAAAACTCATAGG